GTGAATTTTTTAATTTTTTTTTTTTTTGGAAATTTGTCCCTTTTTAAAAATTTTTTTAAAAAAAAAAAAAAAAAAAAAAAAAAAAAAAAAAAAAGAGAGAGAGAGAGAGAGAGAGAGAACATTTTCTTTCCTCTCTCCAGGTATTTCATTTCGACGAAGGCCCAATTCTTGATTGGGAGGAACTCCAAAGACCTTTGTTCTTCCATTCCTTGCACTGAGAGGATGGTTTATTAAAGATAATATGGTGATTTTGTTTATTAAGGTAGAGCAATTGAGATGGCTAATGTTGTCAGATTCAATTTTTCTTTTTTGATAGAGGGAGGAAACAAAATCATATTCTTGGTCAAAATAGAAAGAGGAGGAGTTGTGAAAATGAGAGATTTTCCTGGTAGATGGTTTGAAGACTGTGTCATTAATGTAAGAGTAGCAACTAATATCACGCTGAATTTTGTGGAATTTTGAAATATCAATGTCATCATTGATGATGAAAGCTAAACAGGAAGATGTGGACAATTGAATTTACAAAAACAGGTGGATCAATGAACAACAACACAATATTTCATATACAAAGCATGTTTGAGCCTTTTTGTGTAAAATGTATTTTGAAATAATAGATTTATGAAGAATGTGTGATTAAAAAATAAGAAAAAATTTTGAATTTACTGATAATATTATTGTATTAAAAAAATGTGTGATTGAAAAGAAGAGAGAGAGAGAGAGAGAGAGAGAGAAATATATTTGGAATAAAATAGGGCCACAATTGGACAAATATAAACATATAAATATATTCAAGACCAAACGGAATGGGAGACACAACACGGCATGACTTATAATATCCAAAGTGTGTGATATTCACTTTCAATTTTTTTTCCATATGAAATGCCTATTTTTGTAATTAGGTATGCGTATAACTTTATTAACAATGACTTTCACCATTTGGATGCAACCTCATATTTCTCTATCGTTTTGTTGCAATCCAATCTTTTCCATTTTTGACTTTTTCGTTCTTGCTTTTCCTTCCACCATTTTCATGCAACCTCCCATTTCCCTATCATTTGTGACACCTTCTTCTGAATTTATGACTTTCTCGTTCTTCCATTTCCTTTTACAATTTTCGCACCTTTTCTCAGTTATTTCATTGCAAACCCTTTTTTTTCAATATACAACTTTTGCATTCTTTCTTTTCCTTTCCCACCTAATAGTATAATAATTTCTCACCTGTCAAGTTTGAACTAGAAAGGATATTATTACATCTCCAAGAGATGCATGATAATACTCTTTATTTTACAGATTCAATGCTTTAAAAAAAAAAATAATAATAATAATATGAAAAAAATCCTTTCCTTTACAGTTATTCGGTAAATTAAATTAGTGGAGATGATTTTTCGAACAGCATCATTTATGCCTATCTAGGAATGAAGTTAGCAGCAACTTTATAAAATAATACGGGGTAATTTAACTTCAATGATATGCAACAAGGGAATTCAATATATGTGAACATAAACGTACAAGTAGAGGAGCCAACAATAGATAACACTTTCTCATCAAGATATACTTCTATATTGTGGAAGACCGATTAATCCAGAGGCAGGTCTCCTTACCAACAACAATAGTAAGTGTATCATCTTGCAGGTAACAAAAAACATAAATATTTGAAAAATTATAGCTAAATTAAAGGCTGATGACTTCGAGATGAAAATTACTGACCAGAAAGTTATAAGAAAAAGCACTGTAACGGACAAGTTTTTAATATCTTAACCAGTTCAAGCGAAAGGAGATGGGCAAGGGGGAATATTAACTTCAAGAGTTCCCTCAAGCATTTGGCTAACTTTTCTCATGGTTGGCCTCAGAGATGAATCTTCTTGAATACACCAAATTCCAACCATCACAAACGTCTCTAGTCTTTTCTTGTCGTTTAAAGCTTCAGTGTCATTTTTAACCAAAGTATCTAGCGTTCCATCCTGAAAGCAGTCCCAAACCCAATCTGTAAGAATTGGATTTTCTCCCTCTCCAAATTCCAAATCTATCAGGCTTTTTCTGCATGTAATGATCTCTAGTAGTAAAACTCCGAAGCTATAAACATCAACTTTCACGGTGACTTGAGTGTTTCTAAACCATTCGGGAGCAACATACCCTTTTGTACCTCTGATATTAGTGAGGGTACGACTCTGATTCATCATCAGAAGTTTTGCTAATCCGAAGTCTGAAATCCGAGCATTAAAATATTCATCAAGAAGTATATTCTGAGGCTTGATGTCGCAGTGGATGATTTGGGTGCTGCATTCTTCGTGTAAGTACGCAAGTCCCCTGGCTATTCCCCGTGCAATTTGAATCCTTCGATTCCAATTTGGTTTCAGATCACCAAAAAGGAAACTTGCTAGAGTTCCATTGTTCATGTACTCATACACCAACATCCGATGAGGACCCTCTTCACAAAATCCAAGCAGGCGGACCAAATTCTTATGATGAGTTTGGCCTATGACATTCACTTCTGTTTTGAATTCTTTCTCAGTATCTTGGGCCACTCTATCCAGCTTTTTCACTGCAATGGTGCTATTGGAGCCCGTTGGCATTACCCCTTTGTAGACAATTCCAAAAGCACCTCTCCCCAGTTCTTCCTTGAACCCGTCCGTAGCTTGTGCAAGCTCTTTATAAGTAAAACACCGCAAATTCACTACTCCTGTATCATGAACTGGACGGAAATTTGTGATTTTTTTGTTGTAAATAAGGAAAAATCCTAGACAAGCTGCACCTACAAACATGAAGTTTACGAACAGAGAGCTGCCCAAGAGCACCGATCCCACAAGTATCAATGTTCCCCGGTCCTTTTTCTTTTTTTCTGGAGTTGGAAAATTCGACCCTTGTACAGGAATATTACCTTTCCTGAACTTGAAAAAAGCCTTTGCATTAATTGCTGTGTAAAGTCTTCCATTAGACAGTGGCAGCTTCTTCTTCCAGCAGCTATTATTCCTGTAAATGGAAACAGCACATAAACAATCGTTCAGGCAGGCATTTTTACAGTCATTTTCTGTGAAAGGGGCTAGTTGCTCAAAATCCGAAAATGGCCAATCAGTATCCGAAACCTCCGACATTTCATATACGTCTTCGGCAGAACCCTTCTGATCATCTTCACCACAGATTGGAATAAACTTGGGATTGCAATCACTAAACGGGTCGTTCGGTTCAGACAAATAAAAACCTAGAGGGCATTCGCATATTGGTTTTCCATTTTCGAGTCTGCAGACACTGTTATACCCACAAGCCCCGCTGCCTTTCTGTCCGTTGATTTCCATGCATATGTTTAATGGCCAATATTCAGCTACAGTCCACTCTTGATCGCCACTGGAACTCCTTGGATAATAATACGTTCTGAAAACTCCATCAAAATCAAGAATTGCCCTATAATAATGATCCGAAGTTGTCGGAATTGAGCGCTTCGTCGTTAGGTCTGTTCGTTCTCCGTTTCTCCTCAATACATAAAGCGAACCCCTTTCATTGAAGACCAGTTGATAACCAGAATTTGATGCATTTGCAGGATCAGAAGACTGACTGTTGTAATACTCATCATCAAAATCCGAATTCGTCGGCACACTTCGAGTATTAAGCACTAAATTTCCATCGCTAAGCATGCGAAGATAAAATCTGCCTCGACTGAAATTCGTTTCAGACTTCCGCGAAACAAGCGTATCATTAATCGCAATTATTTGCGTAGGCAGCAGTGTATCACTTGGATAATTGAAACTTTCCCATATCGAAACAGAATCACTGCGCACTAAAACAAAATTTCCAGTATCATTCAAAAATCCATGGGAAACATCATCAACAATATCAATAGTACTCCATAGAACGCGGCCTTGAGGATCCCGTAGCACCAGCCCATTTTGTGCATCAATCCCCACCGTCGAATCCCCTGAAATAGGATTTGTAACGTTTGGATACCATACTACGGTTTTATTTGGTATTTTATCATACCATATAGCAAGTTGAAACATATCATTGCTTTGAAGTTTCTGAAACCCGAATGCGAAATCTCCAGAAGGTGAAAGCCATGGAGTGGATCTCTCTGTTGCAACAATAGAGGTACCCACAGTTATGGTACCATTGTTTTGAGAAAAGGCGCAGAGAGGGAGGAGAAATATTATCAAGAAGATGGAGTTAAAAAGAGCATAAGCCATTGTTATTTGTCAGAGAAAATTTGGCACATCAAATGATCAAATTATTAAAAAAAAAATTCCGTGTATAAAGGATAGGGGATGATTGGTACTTGATTGAAGACGGTCGAGTCAACTCATATATTTCAAAGTATGCTTTAAATTTCGTCCTTTTCGTGGAAAACTTTTTCAAGACGATAATAATGGCGAGATACATTTTAAATTATTAATCAGAAAATTTTTTTTTTGACTACGCCATCAATCGGACTAAGTCGTATAACAGTGAATTTGTTCTCCGATTTTGCTAAAATAGCAGGGGGGCTGGCCGCCCCCTAATTGAACCCCACCCATAAGGAGGGTCCCATGCGGAAGACTAGGGGGTATATTCAATTGGGACTTTTAAAGATTTTTTAAAGTGGGTGACTTTTGTGGACTTTGTGGAATTTTAAGTGATTTCTATGAATTTGGTAGGAATTAATAAAAGTTTTTCCTGGATTTGTGGAGACTTTTACTAGAAACTTTTAAAAACTTTTGAAGACTTTTGAAGACATTTTATATTTTTTAAAAGAATATATTAAACATATATAATGTAATATATTTAACTTCTTATATATTCAAATCATCCACAACTCATATAATCGAAAATGTAAAGTAATAAATCGTATTTTTCATGTCAATTTTTTTCCCAAAAAAAACAAATATTTCACCAAACATAAAATACTTTTTCGTCTTATATCAAGTAGATTAACAAATAATAAAAATATGAAAAAAAAGGTATTTTAGTAATGATCAACAAATATATATATATATATCAAACATTTCCATCATTCCACAAGTCCGCTACTGAAGAAGCCCTCCACGTATTAGCATTCTCTCTTTCTTGTTCTTGACTCTCAAAAAATGGTCCAAAGTCTTTCCCCTCATTAATCGAAAAAGATGAATAATCTTCATTATCGGGATATATATATATATATATATATATCAAACATTTCCATCATTCCACAAGTCCGCTACTGAAGAAGCCCTCCACGCATTAGCATTCTCTCTTTCTTGTTCTTGACTCTCAAAAAATGGTCCAAAGTCTTCCCCCTCATTAATCGAAAAAGATGAATAATCTTCATTATCGGGTTCGATTGGAAATTCATCGGACCGACATTCTTTCCAGAGAAAATTGTGTAATCATGCATAAGCTAATACAAGTTCAGCTTGTGTATGATATGGAAATGGAGGAGCTGTTTTGAAAATTGTGAATCTTGATTTAAATATACCAAATATCCTCTCAACTACATTCCTCAAGGAAACATGACGAAGATTAAACAACTCTTTTGTATTTTCAAGGTCACGACCTTGACCACCAAAATCTTGAAGATGATAACGGACACCTCGAAAAGGAGTTAAAAACTGACGTTGATTTGAAAATTCACAGTCTCCCCAAAAATATTTACTTGAATATAAAATACTTGTAAAGTTAACAAGTAATTATGAAACAATAAGATAAAAGAAAAAATGAAATAATAAAGTCGTACCTTGTGGCACTTTAAGTCCATTTCTCCTTGTTAAAGCATTACTGAACACTTTAGAATCATGTGCTAATCCCTCCCACCCACTAATCACGTATATAAATTCCAAATCAAAGTTACAAGTGGCCAAAACATTCTAAGAAATTGTTCCATGACAATTTCTGTAACTGCTTGTATTATGTCCAGTTACTATTGCTGGAATATAAGTACCATCAATAGCTCCAATACAATCCTAAAAATAATAAAACAGTACAAAAAATTCACGAGAACACTAATGAAAACATAAAATAAAAATTATAATAATTCTTATTTCGTCACTTACTTTAAAGTAAGGATAAAATCTTGTACTTTCCCTGATTTTTTCTGGCACAACGAATCCTGGTTTGACCATCATATCTACCGCAAATTTGTTTAATGTCTGTAAAATCTTGTTGAAACTTCAACTAGTAGTGAAATGTGATCGACCAAATTTTTGACGAATCAAGCAATATCTAGTATTTTGACCAACAATAAGTAGGAACGTTGCAAGCATCTCTTCAACACAAATATACTTAGTATTCTGTAAGGGCGTTTTTTCTCTAATGATATTGCTTAATTTTAGAAATATATCTGGATACATTCTATAAACTTGTCGAAAGTTTTCTGGATCCTCCTTTAATATTTTATGTATATAATCATATCCATATCTAGTTTTTGGTCGCCTAGTTAGTGAACGTGTAATACGTGCACAACGCATATTATTCACAAGATCATTTATGACGTAGAGAATTGCTTGAATTGCCATCCATAAATACCGTCTGGTTTCATATAATGCTTCCTTATAGTCATCTTCTTCATTCTCATCCACTTCTTTTTCGTGATCTTCATGTATGTTAACATTAGACATTATATATATGGAAGTACCTAAACATAGAAGGAACAAAAATTTAATACATAGGCAAAGATAATGATAATGTGACGTAAAATGAATCGATTGTCATGAAAGTAATAAAATATCAAAACAATACAACCAATAAATCAAACAAAAAACAATTCAAAAACTTCAAAAGTTACTACCAATTGTATCAAAAAAAAAAACAAAGTCTCAATTTAATTTAAATGATATCCATTTAGAACGTTCTTCGAGCGTCATGGTCAAGAACTCATATTTTTTTGATTTTGTTGTTTCGCGCGGGTTAGTCTCTAACAATTAAAAGGGATCAGACGATTGTGTAAGGAACAAACCTCTTGAGACAAAGTCCCAAAAAGGGGTGTTCTTTTATTGACGATGACTTTACAATTGGAAATGAAAAACAACGTGCCTCCAAGGGGCTCAAGCACACGAGTTACTGAAAGAAAAGTGTTTAAGTCTAAAAGCTAAGGAAATGAAAATTACATATTCTCTGTTCGAGAGTTTTGGATTCGGTCCTTTGCTTCTATGTCTTTTCTCCCTTTTATACTTCATAGACGATCTTTTTGTGATCAACTACTCTAAAAACTGCTTGATCGTCCTATAACTACCCACTTTCTTCGTAATGGCCACCTTTTAACTGCTGCCATTACCCTTCATCGTTTAACCGCTTTCGATTGAATTCCTTGAATCGTGGAACGTGATAGGACTGCTTTAATAACTGCTTTGATAACTGCACTTTTTGATAACCAGGACGCGTTATGTTTTGTTAATACCTTGGGCGACTTGAAGGATTGGACGAAAATAGAGTAACAACTCTGGGCAACTGTATGACACTCCATTCGCTCAGATTCTGGGCGACTTGCAAACTTGGACGATGGCGTTACCGCGTTCTTGGGCCTCCTTATTTGGGCCTTCATCTTGATTTGTTTGATTGGGCTTCGTTCTTTGGGCTGTCTGATTTGGGGATTCTCCAATTGGGCTTCACTCCTTGGGCTGTTCGATTTGGGCTGAATTTTTTATGTGTCAACAATTGCCCCCCAATATGGCAGAATTAATAACAATTATTAAATTTTTCCATATTCACTTTGTGTTTCCAGCAACATTCGAAATTCCCAAGAATTTCAATCATTGTTTCCTTCTATAACTTGAAAAGGTGCGTCGTTTTGTAAACCCTTATAAACCCCAAACACGCCATTTTACTGCCATCAAACCACGCCTCATATTTTTTGCGTCTCCATCACGATTCACTGTTCATCTTTTGCTTCCCTGCTACGTAACCCTGAAAAGCTTCGTTCCTTCTCGAATGGCTGCTTCACAATCTCAAGCTAGCGATTCCTTTAATTTTGATGACTTTCAGAGACTTCTGAGTCGCCCATACATAACCCCAAGCTTTCTCGCGCCCACCGACGTTGGACGTAATGAGTTTTACTTGGGTCCTTTTTTCAACAATGCGGAGGCAGTTGAACAAGCGGTGGTGGGTCAGCTGTTTCCTTGCACTCATGGCCCTCATTTTCTAAACTCTCTGCCGCTGTGGCCACTTCGCGAAAGAGGTATTCGCACTTGGCCTAAATTTGATGTAGCTTTTCGTAGGTAGCATGCTCGCCTTGTGGGTCATGGTCCTACCAATGCACTTTTTGATAGCGCTAGAATTTCTGATTTGTTGGAAATCTCTATCCGTCCCCCTACTTTTGATTCAGCACTCTTTTCAATTGCTTTGAGTTTTTGGTCTTCTGAGTATAACACCTTTATTTTCCCTCTTGGCCCCATGTCTATTACCTTAAGGGATGTTGGCGCCCTAGTGAATCTGCCACCTTTGGGCGATACCATTTTTCCTGGTATCTTAGTCTCTGGTGGCGCCCCAAAATTTGGTAGAAACTACACCGATTCTTATTCAAGCCTACAGACCCTCCACAATCATTCGAGCGCTGAGCCTACCCATACTGAGCGAGTGGCCTTCCTTTTAGTTTGGCTTTGTAAATATGTTTTGTGCATGCCAAGTATAAAGCCCTCTCTGAGTTATTTACCCATAGCGCACGAATTGGCGCGTGGCAGGCCTTTGAATTTATGTTCTTTATTTTTGGCTACCCTTTATAGAGGCATGGCTTCTCTTCAAACTCAATTGAAGAATGGTGCATCTCCCACTGACAGTGGACCTCTTTGGTTCACTCAACTATGGTTGAGATCCTATTTTCCATCGCTTGGTGCTCCATCCATTTCTCGCCCTTATGCTAGCTGTTATGGGCTAGCCATGGAGCCCTTAACTCCTGTAAATATGTCCAGAAAGGACATTTTTTCATTCTTTTATTCTTTGGATTCAATCCCTTCCTTTTTTCCTTTTCCTCCTTTTTTGACTCCAAACTATGTACATCCCCCTTCCACTATAGATAACCCAAGCACCTCCTTGCTCATTTGGATCCAGTTTTTAACCGGGAGGGAGCTATTTCATGATATTCTAACTGGGACCAATGCCAAAGCGGGGGTAGAGATTTATGCTCCCCAATTTTTTGCTCGTCAGCTTGGTTTTGGCCAAACTTGGCCTGTTTCTCCTTGCTATTCAAGGAACTTAGTTGACCGTTTTCTATCATTACTAAGGCGGAGGCAGAGGCCATAGATGCTCGTAATCTTCTTTTAACCAGTCATTTTTCATTGGCCCC